GGCAATCAATAGACTTCTGCTAAGAAGGGTAGTGACTCTGGGCAACGTGCAGGACATAGTGAATGATTTTGCCGTGATGGGGTTCCCTAACTGTGGTGGGGCAATAGATGGAACATATATCCCTATCTTGGCACCAGAGCACCTTGCCAAAGAGTACATAAACCAAAGGGGTACTTCTCAATGGTGTTACAAGCACTGGTGGATCACAGGGGCCACTTCACCAACATCAACGTGGGATGGTCGGAAAGGTGCATGACGCACGGATCTTTAGGAACTCCAGTCTGTTCAGAAAGTAGCAAGCAGGAACTTTCTTTCCAGACTACAGAATAACCATTGGTGATGTTGAAATGCCAATCGTGATCCTGGGAGACCCCGCCTACTCCTTGCTCCCATGGCTCATGAAGCCGTACACAGGCAGCCTGGACAGCAGCAAGGAGCGGTTCAACCATAGGCTGAGCAAGTGCAGAATGGTGGTGGAATGTGCCTTTGGATGTTTAAAAGCCCACTGGCATAGTTTGCTTACTAGGTTAGACCTCAGTGAAAGCAGTATCCCCATTCAGTGCCTTACTATCCCCACTGTTGTTGCTGCCTGCTGTGTGCTCCATAATATCTGTGAAACAAAGGGAGAAAAGTTTCCGGCGGGGTAGGGCATTAAGGTAGAGTAGCTGGCAGCCAGTTTTGAGCTGCAAGACAGCAGGGCAATAAGAAGAGCACATCGAGGTGTGCTGCATCTCTGTGAGACTTTGAAAACTAGTTTAGTCAATGCCCCACAGTAATGTGACACTTATGTGTGCTGTTCCTTACCTAGCTGTTCCCTTCATTGCATTTAGTCCCCTGTAACCTGCACCCCCACTAACCGTTGTGTGCTGAATTAATAAAGAGCCGTTTCTCCTCAATCCATTCATTTCTTTTATGCTCACAAACATAGAGAGATGTCAAAGAAAATTATGATAACCTAGGGCTAAGGGGCTGATAACACCGAGGTGGGAGTGGGGTAAAAGGGAGAAACAAGGACAACTTGCTTACAACTGCCCTGCAATAACAATCAAAAGTGTGGGAATGGGCGCCTTCTGGTCCTTGTACCCTCCCCTGGAGTAGAGTGCAAGGGACACTGGACTTTCCCCCCATTGCCCCCGCATCCTAGAATGTCTGGGAGGGAAGGATGTGGAACTTGGCGACAATGGCAGCAGGTTCAGCATAGGCTGCAGCAGGACGCTAGCGTCCAGCTGCCTTTCTTGAACCTCAGCCAGATGCCTCAACATGTCTGTTTGCTCCCTCATAATCTGCACCATTTCGTTCTGCGTGTCACACTCATGTTCTCTGCATGCTCTCCTGTCCTCATGGTCGTTGTGCAGGCTGTCGGACAGTGCAGTCCTCCGTGCCCTGAGCTCCATCTTGTCACTCTCGGAGGCGCACATTAACTCCTTGAACATGTCCTCCTGAGTCTTCTTTTTCAGCCTTCTAATCAGGGAAAGTCTCTGTCCTGGTGTGGAGGATGCACCGACGGACAAGGTTTCAGCTGCAAAAAGTACAAAGCACAAGGGTAGCACTGACAGAGCATAAATTGTTTCTGGTGCAAGGCTAAATCTTTGTATAAAAAGTAACACCCCTCAATGCACTTTCCTGCAAGCCACAGTGTAACCACAACCACGGGCTACTGCAACAGTCGGTTTGCTGCTCCAGCCATAGTGAGTAAGGCCATGAGGAGGGGGGAAGAGATCTTGTGCTGCAACTTTTAATAAGACATCCTTTGGATCAGTGGTTCCAACCTCAGCACAGACCCCTTTCCCATAGCAACCAGGATGGTGCTTGAGGACAGGCACCAGCGTAAAGCCGCACAAATAGTTTCATTGTTACAAAAGCAGCCCTGGGTTGGGGTGGAAGGGAGACGAACAGAAAGTGTCACCCCCCGCCTTCTCTAAATGCTGGCTGCAATACGGGGTGATCCCTTCCAACCACAGCCAGGACAGATTCAGCAAAGCATGGTTGTGTGACTCAGAATTCACCAAACTTATCAAATTGTTTTCAGTTTAAGGGCTAGCATTTAAAACTTCCCCCTTTTCCCCTAGGTAACCATATGCAATATCACTCTCCTGAGGGTAACAGAGGCAGAAAGGGAGCCGATGCTGCAAGCATCTGGGTACAGACCTGGTCCTTATGCTGTAATGCTGTGTGCCACAATGATGCCAGAAGAGTTAATACTGGAGTGGTGCGGTAAAGTGTAGTACCGTGGTGGACGAAATAAGGCAGGCCTTCCCAGAAACCTTCTGCAAAGGATTGCAGAGTACCTCCACGAAAGCTTCCTAGAGAGCTCCATGGAGGATTCAAGGGCCATCCCCGGGCACATAAATAGTCTTTTTCGGAGCGTACCCTCAGCGTAGCTGGAGTGGCCACCGATAGCCACTATCCCATTTTTTTAAATCAGATTCAACATTAAAGATAATATGTAACCCCAACAGTTTGATTGGAAATGTGTACTCACCAGAGGTGCCTTTCCCGGCATCACGCTCCACCGCCAACTGGTCCTCTGAGGGGGATGGCCTCCAGAGTTTAAAAAAAGTTCCTGGCTTTCGGGGATAATGGATCCTCCACTTGCCTGCTGAGCATTCTCCTCATCCTCCTCTTTCTCGTCAACAATGCCCTCCTTGTTGTAGCCCGAGGTCGCCCGGGGCTCCTGGGAGGTCTCCACACAGTGTTTCAGGGTAGTGGTGGGGTCGCTGCCTAGAATCACATGCAGCTCCTCATAGAAGCGTCATGTCTGTGGCTCAGAACCAGAGCAGCTGTTCACCTCCCTTGTCTTCTGGTACGCTTGCTGAAGCTCCTTTATTTTCACACGGCACTGATGTGTGTCCCTGGTGTAGCCCTTCTCCTCCATGCCCACCGCGATTTTGGCATAGATGTCAGCCTTTTTTCTGCTGGTTCGGAGCTCTGCCTGTACAGACTCTTCTCCCCACACAGCAATAAGATCCAGTGTCTCCTGTGTCCTCCATGCTGGAGTGCGTTTGCAGCCTTGAGCATCCGTGGTCAGCTGTGCTGACAAGCTCTCCATGTCGATCAAACAGGAAATGAAAATTCCAAAGTTCCCCGGGCTTCAATGGGGGGGGGGTTGTTTCCTGTGTACCTGGCAGAAGTGCAGTGGAGTTGAAAGTGCTCTCTGGAGCGGTCACAGCAGAGCACTGTGGGATACCTCCTGGAGGCTAATTCCTTCGAATTACACAGCACAGTGTCTACACTATCCCCATGTTGATGCGTGGCTGTTGATTGAAGCACAATGCCTCTCACGGAAGTGGAGTACAGAAGTCAACTTTACAAGCCCTTTAGGTCGGGAGAAGGGACTCGGTAGTGTAGACACATACATTATTAACTCGACCTAACACGGCATATGTCGACCTAACTTTGTAGTGTAGAGCAGGCCTATGAATCTAAGGGGATGCACTGGAGTTTGCTTTTAGTGATGACATCCTGTAGTGATTATTCAGTTACATATCTATCTAACTTTATGACTACTATTTTGCCCCTCAGTCCAACCAGTGGGGCATTCAGATTTTAACAATCAGATTGGCCACATTTCCTCTGGTTTTCCCTCCTGCTTTCGGAGGGAAATACTTTTTGACAGTAAGCAGCAACTGAAAAGGTTATTGCTTGTGGGAATGCCACTTAGAGCCAATAGCAATGTGACTGAACTCACTCTGTTCTTGCCTAATAAAAACTTCACTTCTAGGGCCATTTGTGAAGATCCCAGTGTGATGTGTCTTGATGTATTGATTCAGTTATCATATTCTTGTCAAGGTCTAAGCGCATAGCTTGATTTCAGTGGGTATTAAACACCTTTTGACTAGTGTCCTGGTGATTTTTACTCCTCCTCTCTGAATGTCAGAGCATGCCACATTTTCTTTTGTATAACTCGGTACCACATAACACAACGGGGTTCTAATCTATAAATAGGGCTCACAGGCACACTGGTAATACAAATAAATAATAATATAACAACACCAGAGCCACATACATGCAAATTTAAATGATAAAATGTGGATATTAGCATTACCTTTCATACCCAGCATAAAGGGACACTCATAACTCATTTGTGAGCCAATATCATGTTTTCCCAGTCTAAGTGACAGGTTCTGAATTGTAACTACAAAGAGAGACTCAGAAAACAATGCAAGCTGACAAAGATAATAGAAAATGAAGAGGTGGAGATTGCAAATTGTTAGCAAAACACAAAACCATCTTGTGTGAGTGTATTGCATTTTTATTTTTTACAAGGTTATGAAGGTTCATTTTCTGCATGTGACCCTAATTTCTTTCAAAAACTGGAAATAGCCCCAATTTATTGAGCTGTTCGCAACATGACAGTGTTGTGATAGAGTTTGCAAAAGCAATTACCGGAGTACAACTCCCTCCCACACCCAGAGGCTGATGGAATGATTTGTTAAGTGTGGAAGGATCTGAATTATTCCAACAGCTTTTAAAATGATTCCACTTACTCAGCTCAAGAGGAGGAACATCTGGTTTTGAAAGAACAAAGTATGGACATGGTCTATAACTTAGCCAGCTAGCTCGCTATAAGGCAGGGGAGGGATGATTGGTTAATGGGCAGTAGCCAACCTGTAGCAGATCTCAAGCCTTGGGGAAAGAATCATAGGACTGGAAGGGACCTCAAGAGGTCATCTAGTCCAGTCCCTTGCACTCAAGGCAGGACTAAGTATTATCTAGACCATCCCTGACAAGTGTTTGTCTAACTTGCTCTTAAAAATCCCCAATGATGGAGAGTCCACAGCCTTCCTAGGCAATTTATTCCAGTGCTTAACACCCTGACAGTTTGGAAGTTTTTCCTAATGTCCAACCTAAACCTCCCTTGCTGCAATTTAAACCCATTGCTTCTTGTCCTATCCTCAGAGGTTAAGAACAATTTTTCTCCCTCCTCCTTGTAACAACCTTTTATGTACTTGAAAGAAGAAAGGGGAAGGGTGGGAGTGAGCCCACTTGGGCAGACTTACCACCTAGCCACTCTGAGGAGACGTTCTGCAGGAGAGTGAAAGGGATGCAGAAGAAAGTGACCAGCAGGTCACTGCACGCCAGGGAGCAGATGAAAATATTGGTGGCCGTTCTCATGGCTTTCCGCCGGATGATGATGTAGACCACCAGGCTGTTGCCCAGAAGAGCCAGCGCGAAGATGATGATGTAGAGCACCAGGAAGGTAACCTTGGCACTGGGAGGCAGCTCTGGGATGTAGACGAGGGGTTTGAGGCCGTAGGCGGCAATGAACTCTTCCCTGGTCATGTTGTGCTCCTCCAGGAGCCTGTCGAGCGCCTCCGGGCTCACGTTCAGCCTCCTCTCCATGGTGCTGGTCCCTGGTGGGCGCCCGGGGCATGGGGCGCTCACCCCGGAGCCTTGTCCTTGGTGCTGAACCCAGGCCCCCAGGCCCCCAGCGCGCTCTCCAGGGTGCTGGAGCCTCGGGTCGCTGCGCTCCGGCTGCGCTCCACGAGGTGCGACTCCGGGCTCTGCTCACCGCGGGGCCCGGTCTGCAGCGCGGACTCCTGGGCTGGGCTCAGCCGCCTAAGGCAGGGCCGGCGCGCTCTCCGCGGTGCTGACCTCTGGAGTGGCTCCGTGCTCCGGCCCTGGCAGCTCCGCTCGCTCGTCGCTCCCGGCTGCCGAACGGTGCGCTCCGCGCAGCCAGCGAGCCCAAAGGCAAGCGCCCTGCCTTCCGCTCCAGGGACGCAGCGTGCGCGCTGGGCTTGAAACAGCGCCTCCTGCCACTGCCCCCTGGGCAAAAATAATGACAGGCGAAGACGAGTTCCCGAGCAGCCGCAGCTTGCTAGGGAGTTGTGCTGCCGGACCCGGCACTGTCTGGGTGCTCTGCAGCCCGCTTTGCTCTGTCTCTGTGTGTCTCCCTCTCCTTTAGTAGCCTCGCTGCTGAGATCTGAAGAGGTGAGTGATGGCTTATCACTCCGGTTCTGGCAGAGCAGTTTCTCTCTTCCTCCCAGGAGTAGGGAGACACAGGGGAAGCCGCATTCCCATCCCTAAACAGAAATTGCTGCGTGACACATTCCCATGGTATTTCCATGCGCCCTGGGCTGATTGGTAAATTGGTGGCACCAGGGGTTTCCTCTGGGGCAGAGGAGATCACAGGCAAATGACAGAGTAGGCGGCTGTCAATCCTGGCTTCAGCCCTGGGGTGGCCGGTGGCAGGCTCCAGCCACGGGGCTTTGGGCTCTGTCCCCTGGCTGTGTGGTGGTGGGCTCTAGCCTGAGCTCACCCCCCCATCACCATTGGGTCCAGCTGCCTCCCACAGTGCCCCATCGCCCTTGGAATGGGCTTGCCGGGGCTGAGTAAGTCTGCTGCAAAAAGTGATGTTAACAATCATACAAATCTCACTTTTCACAGCAGACTTACTTGTAGCTAGAATATATATATATATATATAACAAAAAGAAAAAAGACAAGAACATTCAAAGCACCTTATTTGTGTTTCTATTCTGTTTAGGTCCAGTAAAGAATAGAGATAACTGTACATAATTTTTATTATTGAGTCTGCAAAAAACAACCCTACATAGATCAATTAGAATGATTTAGACATGTATAGGTACATATTTATTTGTTTTTCCTAAAGTTAATTAAGTATTTAGGGAAAATTGTCAGAGCGGCCATCAGCAAGAGTTGGTGGTTGCACTCTGAGGCCATCAAAAATTTTGTTGTGAGAACCCCTTGGGGAGACCTCACTGTTCACTGAAACCTCTGGCCCAAGCCCAGAATTAACAAAAGCCTGCACAGCTTAGTTTTAGGGCATCAAATTAAAAGTCTTAAAAGCCTCTTTAAAGTCTCCAGCCTTGAACTTCCTTTAAGAAAAAGGCAATGGGGACAATATTTTCCAAGCTGCATCATGAATAATCCCTGCATGGTCATTGATTTTGTTTGTTTTGTTTTTATCTGAAAGATTTATTAATGATTTCCCCACTAAATAATTCAGGTAATTAGCTTGCATAAAGCCAAATGTTCAAATCCATCTTTCAGTCCTCTTTATCAGCTAGTGTCAGGTGTAGCCTAGAGACACTGAATGCAAAACAGTTTGCCCAGATGCCCCGAGCATCTGGGGGAGGGGTGTCATAAAAGGCTCTGCAGAAGAGAAACAGAGGCAGGGCACTGCAGGACCACCATTTCATTCCAGACTTACATTGATGTATCTCCACTGACTTCAGTAGAGTTATACCAGTGTAAAACTGGAGTAACGCTGTAGTGAATCAAGCCCCAAGTGTTGATTATTATTTTAAAGGTTTTACAAAATAAATATTGAAAATTATATTAAAATAATATTTCAATTATTTTTCTGATTTCAGAATAAAAGATTCTGTTCTATACAGGTTCTTATGCCACCCTGGTCATTGTAGCATTTGAGCTTCTTTCAGTCATGCATAAAGCAATGTGATTAATATCTGTAACGTGTGGTTCATTCTCTCCCCAGGGGAAGGGTAGTATACGCAGTAGAGTGGTTTGTTTTGGTAGGGTTCGTTGTTGTTTTGACTGACAGCCATAGCAGAACAGGAGGTAGGCCCTAAATTAACTTCATTTACAGCAGCTGAGATTTAGCTCACAATTTCTGGCCATTATGGATCAAATTCAGATCTGGTGTAAGCCAATGACATTCTACTGAATGGAATTGAATCCTCCGATCACAGGTGTGAATTTGATCATGTCAGCTCATTAAAATTATGGACACTTAAAGGGAACACAGGCACCTTGAGCATTTAAGAATCATATGACACCACGGCAGTTTGCTTTTAAATCTCCCTTAAGCACTCTGACCTATTGATCCGGTATAGTTCGCATGTAAAAGAATCCAAGTGGGAGGAGCTCTCCCAAGATGGGCAATGTATATGCTTCCTTCTTTCTCCAAACAGGGGAGATGCTGGCAGGAGAAGGAAGCTGGAGTCAGAAGGCTGACCTCCAGGTGAAAAGGGCTGGGAGTGCTGGCTCTGTGAAGAGCAGGCTGGGACAGGAGAATATCTCTGTGTCTGGGAGGTGCCCCGGAGTTGAGTTTGAATCTTTGTGTTATGATGATGGACATTATTTGTGGGACTTTGAGAATTATTTTTGAATTGCTGCACTTACTAAACTGGCCCCAGGCAGGGGTGGATGGCGCAGCTACAAGAGATTTTATGGGTGTGTGTGTGTGTGGGGGGGGGGTTCATAAAAGGCTCTGAGGAAGAGAAACAGAGGCAGGGAACTGCAGGATCACCTCTGCCCACGCTGAGATTCTCTGGAGGGGAGTGCCCTGTTAGAATATGAATTGTTGTTGATAAAAGGTTGACTTTTCCTTCGGGAAATTAGTTTTTGGGCCAGTTTCACTAGTGCTAGCACAGGAAGGCTTGTAAACTAAACTTCCCCATGCCAATCAGGTTCCTTCATCCTTGCAGGCTGGGGTCCACTCCAAAGAGGATAAACTGATACACATCTCCAGCTTCCTTCCCAGTTTCCTATCAAGGTTCATAGGCTGGCTAGAGTTCCATAGAAAGCCCAGTAGTGGAGGCTGTTCAAAAGAGTCACTGCAGTAACTCCAGTGGTTTCAAAGGCGTGATGCTATTCTTAACCTGGAGTCACACAATGGTGGGTCAGTCCCAAGAGTCACTGAATCAGCATGCTCTCTGTTGGCCTGAACCAACCCCCTTCTTTGGCCAGTGCCGCTTGTGGGTAGCGCCGCAAGGTTGCGAAGTGTTGCTGTTCTTGGAGCTCCCATGTCAGCTGCACTAGCAGACAGTGAAGCTGGCTGATTCAGCAGACCTCGATGTTGTTCGTAAAGCCCACAGGCTTGGTTTGGTGGCGTAGGCGCTTGGCCAGGTTTATTGCCAGTGAACCACAGTGGTGACAGTACACTCGTGTGTGTATGCTCGTGACAATGGTACCAGCTCAATCAGCACACCAGGGTGCTGTTCCCTCGGCAAGAATGGAGATATTCCTCCTGTGACTTCTCCTTGTACATGTTGATACAAACAAGTTATGTATTATGCTCCAGATATTGTTAATTACCATCCCTATGCTAGTTGGAACAAAATATCCTCATCCGTTATCCTGTCCTTCCCTCCTTATCTTCGGATGGGTTAGAATCATAGAATCATAGAATATCAGGGTTGGAAGGGACCTCAGGAGGTCATCTAGTCCAACCCCCTGCTCAAAAGCAGGACCCATCCCCAATTAAATCATCCCAGCCAGGGCTTTGTCAAGCCTGACCTTAAAAACTTCTAAGGAAGGAGATTCCATCACATCCCTAGGCAACGCATTCCAGTGTTTCACCACCCTCCTAGTGAAAAAGTTTTTCCTAATATCCAACCTAAACCTCCCCCACTGCAACTTGAGACCATTACTCCTTGTCCTGTCCTCTTCTACCACTGAGAATAGTCTAGAACCATCCTCTCTGGAACCACCTCTCAGGTAGTTGAAAGCAGCTATCAAATCCCCCCTCATTCTTCTCTTCTGCAGACTAAACAATCCCAGTTCCCTCAGCCTCTCCTCATAACTCATGTGTTCCAGACCCCTAATCATTTTTGTTGCCCTTCGCTGGACTCTCTCCAATTTATCCACATCCTTCTTGTAGTGTGGGGCCCAAAACTGGACACAGTACTCCAGATGAGGCCTCACCCATGTCAAATAGAGGGGGACGATCACGTTCCTTGATCTGCTCGCTATGCCCCTACTTATACATCCCAAAATGCCATTGGCCTTCTTGGCCACAAGGGCACACTGCTGACTCATATCCAGCTTCTCGTCCACTGTCACCCCTAGGTCCTTTTCTGCAGAAAAGGGTTGATTTGCTCTTGTACCATCTCTTAGGAATATGTTCACATGGCTCTTTCAAATAACTATTTTTTCTCCCATCCTCTCTGGTCAGGAATGTCCTTACTTGGTTAGCTGACACCTGGTGCTGTTTTGCCAAAGCCAGGCCTATTCTGGCTCACAGCCTTTGATTCATACTGTTACTTATGCTTACAGCTCCAAAAAGTCCTATCTTGCTCATATTCTGAGATGTGTTCTCTCTGGTTTCAACGTATTCCGGTTCTTATTGTGGTCGGTAAAAACTAAGAATTTCCATTTAGTGGGAAATTCTGACATTTCCTTTTCTCTCAGTTCTGAACAAAAAGTTGAAATTTTGAAAGGTCCCTCAGAACAAACATTCCCCAATTTCATTTCAGGAACACTGAAACAACCTTATTGAAATGTTTTATTTCAATACAATTGAAGCACTTCCTTTTGACATTATCATTTTGGCATCTACTGTCATTATAATCAAAAGGAGAGTGGGAAAGAATTGCTTTGCCTTATTTTGAAATGACAGGCTTCCACTTTATCGAAATAAAATTTCAATAATCTTTCATCCAAAATGTTGACAATCTATATGTTCCATTTTGATTTTGTCAAATTGGCAGTTTCTGATGGAAAAACTGTTTCATCAGAAAATTTTCACCCAGCTGTATGAGCCCAGTCCATCACCATGGTGTCTGAGTGTCAGGTTCCCCAGTGAGAGGGAATTTGCATCTGCATTTTACCTGTGCAGCCTTCAGTGTACCTCTGCAGTGGACCCTGCCATAAATATTGGGTGAACTTAGCCTTTCAACGGCATTGTTGGAAAAAAAATATTTTTCCTTTTTTCATTCTAGTCTAAATGATATAATTAAAAATTACAGGAAATTGTAGGGCTAAAATCAGACAAAGCCAATTATTTTCAAGGATGTCTGGAAGCACTTATACTGCCAAAGAGAAGTTAGAATCTTCTACAGTCTTGTTAAACCAGTATTAGTCTATGACTGTAATTTTTCTCCTTATTATGCCTTTATCAAATAAGTTTTAAAGAGAAGACGTCTTGGAGAAAAGGCATCTGAGCATGGCATGACTAGAGGAAGAATCCAGAAATATAAAGAGCATTCTTGAATAGTAGGCTTGAATTTCCTCTATTTCCCCATGTGG